ATTATGTAAAAGAAAAAGTTGTGCATATGATCGTTTTTGTAAATCACATATACATATACATGTATACATACCTACAATACACATGTACAGAAAATGTGTATCAAGACACACAAAAATCCTAATGGTGGTTACTAACAGTTGGTAGGAACTGCAGGTAATCTTTATCTCATTTGTAAAAAGTTTCTATCCATTTGTAATTATTTTTGCAAGAAATATTTTAAAATTATTATCTTTAAATAAAGTCCTAAGAAAATATCCAAAAAGATGTATTATTCTTACCTCTGATCAGTTCTTTGTACATTCATTCAACAAATAAACCTCAGTTCAATGGTCAAATGATATAGAATGAATTAATGTTATCTATAAAATCCACTGTCACTATGGAAAAAAAAAAATCTACTGATTTTCATACAACGATTTAGCAGCTAAATCAGCAGAACTTTTAATTAAGCACCACTCATCAACTTTCTAGGCTATGGGACCTAAAGTAAATTGTTGTTGGCACAAGTATCAGATATTCATTCCTTTCAAAATCATGTCCCACCAATCATTAAATAATTTTATCTTCACAAAGTCCTTTGTTTTATTTTGTTTTGCCAATTGGGATTTTTGCTTTGTGAGTGTCTTTTAACAAAGTAAAAATAAATTCAGATCCCCTCATACAAATTCTCCTCTTAAAAATAAGCATATTTTATAATAATACATGTTTCTGAATTCACATTCCCTGAAACAAAAACTTTTCTCTCCCCTAGGATTGTGCCACACTAAACAATTTTGAATGATTCTGAATCATATTGTCACTGGAAAAAATATTCACTGTTATTTTATTTTTATACCTGGGTATTAGGAATTCCAAAATGCCTATCATATCCCTTTATGCTAACATTTTGTTAGCTGGAAGATATATGCTAGGTTCTAATAATGCTCCTAAGTGAGGTTTTATGACTTTTAAACACAACTTCTCTAAAAGCAGACATTCATCTAATATGCAAGATGTGACTATAAAGGAATTGGCCTGATATTATTCTTTTTGTTCATAAAAGCATCAGAATTTACATAGGAAATGAATGTTATCCCCTCTGAGCAGTCACCTTGGGACTCCCCAGACAAACCTTGATGATGTTTGCCTTTGTTTAGAACAATCTTAGGACCTTTCTTTTGGACTCGCCTTTACTCTGTTCCTTTATTTTAAAAACAAATGTCTTTAAAGATAGCCAAGTGTTGCCCTTTAAAGTTAGATTCAATCTTCATCGATAGCTAAAATTAATCTAGAGTAGGAGATGGGGTCCTGGGTGCACTGGGTAGAAAAATATTGGATGTGACAAAAGGATTAGGGGTAATGCAGTGTGACACTCTAAATTAGGGGTGATATTTTAAATATTCAGCAATAGGTATGGAAGGACACAGATCAATCAGAATAGACGTCACTGAAGCAAGGTACTAGAGGGCTTTGCCCAAGATCCAAGTATTAACTCTTTAGTAGCAGGACTGTGAGTCCTTCTAGAGGGTCCAGTAGGGGAAACTGTAGCGGTGGGGATGAGTGGGCACTTTGGGGTTTCTGAGCTGTGACATTAACCAACCAATAAAGGAGATTTGGGGTATTTTAATGTCAGCTGAATATTGGTCCTTCCAAAAAGTAAAGAGGCCACTGCTGTTTTTGTGGGGCTTGGGCATTGACTCTGAAGGCACTTGCCCAAAAGTTGTTTGAAGGTGTTGAAAGCAATAGCAGCAATATTGGAATAAATGCATAGGATCTCAGGATAATGATTTTGAAGGCATTGCTTATCTAAATATTTAGACTCTCTAAACTCATTAAGAACAGGCACCATACCTTTTTTTTACTTTTTCTCACTAGCACCTAACACAGTGCTTTAGATATAGTAGCTGCTTAATAAATATTTGTTGAATGAATGGCATGTTCGTTAAAGAAAAATAACTTCCAAGCAAAATCTCATCTTTAAGGCTTTTAAACATTATTTTTATTTTTTAGATCCATAAACTTTCTTTATTTTATTGGAAATAATTCTAAAAATCTCTTTGAAGAAAGAAATCCACCAATATTTATTCCTGACTCAAAACCTTTTGATAGCTACCTACTTCTTTCTGGAAAGCAGTCATTTACAATGATCTGTGAATCTGTATTTAACTCCTGGAAGTTCCTATTATTTCTAGCCAAAAAGAGTCTTCCTTTTAGCACATAGGATTTGAGCTTTCCCAGGGTTAGGGCTACTCTACTGTGGCTGCTGGCCAATATTTATCAGGCAAAGGGTATCTAGTACTGTGCACTTCATACATCAGTTCCTTCTCCTAACCACCCCTTTCATAGTTGAGGAAATTCAGCCCCAGAATAGCTCTGCAACCTCCCCACATTTACACAGCTAGCAAATGGTGAAGGTACCAGTTGAATCTAAGCAACTTGATTCCAGGGCTAAGCACCCTTGACCAACACAGTATAATGAGCAGGAGCTGGTTCATCTTCAGTCAATCAACAGGGTAGGAATTGAAGGATTTCCTGTACCTGAAAAGTACCTCAGAGCTCCTATTACGTTGACGCTTAGAAACGAGCTCTCAGAAGGAAGACTTCATTGTACATTCACCTTACAAGTGTTTACTGAACACATACATATGTAGGCACTGTTCTAGGTTCTAGGAGGACAGGTAAGAGAACCACAATCTCTTTCTGCTTGGTAAATGCAGAACCTAAACTTACTCAAGTCTCCTAGGGCTCCTTTTTCCACTACTACAAATGGGGACAAAAACTGAACCCCTGTATTCAGTTTGAATTCTGGATCCTAAGCAATCATCATCCTCGATGAATTGCAAAACAGACATACCTCTAGAAAGCAGGAGATCTACTGCTTTCTTCTTTCCGGATTCCCTAGGGGAGTATTCATTCGATCTCCTTTGACAACCTGTCCTTATAAGGAAAGCAACAGGGGCAGGAGAGGTGGTGGAAGTTAGGATTGAAGCACATAGACTATTTGAAACACAGATGATATATAAACATTCCACTGATGTGGCAGCATTTTCCTGTTACTGCAGGATTCCCCTGTATAATGCTGATACTGAGCCAGTGCCCCACAGGCTAATTGTTTCATATATGAATTTTATGTTTTAGGAGGCATTTCAAGTTATACAGTGGTCTTATGTGTTATCATAATTAGAAACAATAGAAACATTAACTGAACTTTGTACCTTTCTTGAACGATTAAGTTGTACTTTAAAGGGAGGTTAATAAATAACCAACGAGAAGGCTATCAAAGAACTAACCCTAGAATAGTAAACTGTACTAAATGTCCCAAGCAAGCTGAGAGATTAAAAAACACTAACTTTTCACCAAAAATTATTTCCCATGTGCTGAAAAGCTGGTCTGCTATAAGGGAGTTGATGATTCCACCCAACCCCTGCGCCAGTAAGATTTCAAGAGAAAATAAGAATTTCTAACAACAACAAAATAAAGAGTTCTTTCCATGGTTCCCTAAAACCCCAAATCCCCAATATTAGAGTCATCCTAATGTTCTCAATTATTTATTTTTAATTTTTTTTTTATCACATGAGGCATGGCCTTAAATCTCCCTTTTGGAACAAAGTACAAAGTAAACTTTAAGAAAGAAGCAAACAGACAAACAAATACATAAATCAATAATTGAGAAGATTTCACTCTTTCACCTGAAGATTTTATCCTTGTGAAACTACAACTTCCTTTGGGAGAGAGAGTTGGTGTTTTAAGCGGTGTTCAGTCATTTTCACTTTAGTGTAAACAAGTACTTGAGTCTTTCTTAAGAACAGATTTTGCTAGAAGGTAAAAAGTGATATTTTTCCCCCTTTTCTGAGAGGCAAAGATTCCAGAACATTCCTTACTCTGATTTTGGCCCAAGAACAGGACTGCTCTACCTTTAAAACTGAATGCCAAAATCTTTCTCTCTCAAAAGTAAAATGCTGGGGTATACCCATCTTCTATTATTTGGAAGAGAAATTATATTTAAATCTCAAATTTAAAGGAACTTCTCCCTCAGACTCCTTTCTTACATTCAAAAGCAAATAATCAAGTTAACCATCTTGTAGTCACATCACCCATAAGAATAAAATGTTAGAGCATTTTTGTCAAAGAGATTACGGAAAATCAGTCCCTTTATCTCATGGAGTGTTTCTGAATTTTCTGGTCCTTTAAGCTTTACCCTCTCCTGTGTTTAAGTCAAAAACATAGATCAATAATACATGATGTTCAAACTTTGCAATTTCAGGCTCAAGAATGATATGGAGCATGAAAATGGACATTACAACACACAGTTGTGCTTCATGGAAACTATGGTGTAATATGCTGAAAAATAGCTTCAAGTCATAAAAACGCAATGCACCGACCCCCCGGAAAGAATTGTGTCCACGGGTCCCGGAATGATGTCTGTTGTCCAACACCCTCACTCCACGTCTGAGCCCTTTCACTCCATGTGGTTTTTCCCTCAGGGATCATTATTGGGTTTCATAATGATTAGTTTGTGTATGAAAAAGGAAAGCTCAAGACTATAATTTCATACATACTTAAAAAAAAAAGCATATAAAGAAAATTCAGTAGCGAGACAAGTAATCTCCTGGAGCCTGCTGTGACCAAGAGTATACCTGTGAGAGTGACAAGCTGATAAATGAATGTCTCAACACCCAAGTGGACAAACCACAGAGAGGAAAGCTTTGTGTCCCTGCAGCTTAGGGAGCTCTGATCTCCTGGTCCCTGCTTCAGACATAAGGAGAGCACCCACAGAGAAGCAGACAGTTGCTGGTAAAGCAAGTCAGAAATTCAGTGATAGGGAAACGGGGAATATTTCTTTTAATTTTGGCAAACACATACTTAAAAAGATACTTATCAGTAAAGACCTAAGTGAAGGGTAGATTGAGGTAAAGTGGGGCTCTGAAAGCAAGGCCCAGAGGTAAAAGGTGGATTAAGCACAGAAAGTCTGGAGGAGGAGTTAGGGCCACATTGGGAGTCAGGAAGGCAGGGCACGTACCTGGTGAATGGTTCTTCAGCACCACCCCTGCAAAGGCTCCTTTCTCTACAGATTCCCAAGTCCTCTCACCTGGAGAGGCAGCATAGCCTAGAGAAGAGAAAAAGCTGGCTTTAAATCCCGGGTTGGCCCCTCACTCTCTATGGGACCTTGAGCCAATTACTTAATAGCTACGTACCTCAGTTTCCTCATCTATGAAGAGGGATAACAGTAAGAGAATCAGTACAGTAAAACCCTGGACAACAATGCTTGGCACACAACAATCACTCAATAAATGTTAGATTTTATTATATTCTTATCAACGGCCATGTAAACATATTACTTCCCTTTTTAAAAAATTTTTATTTATTTTTTGGCTGCGCTGGGTCTTCGTTGCTGCGCGCAGGCTTTCTCTAGTTGTGGCGACTGAGGGCTACTCTTCGTTGTAGTGCACAGGCTTCTCATTGTGGTGGCTTCTCTTGTTGCAGAGCATGGGCTCTAGGCGCGTGGGCTTCAGTAGTTGTGGCACATGGGCTCAGTAATTGTGGTTCATGGGCTCTAGAGTGCAAGCTCAGTAGTTGTGGCATGCGGGCTTAGTTGCTCTGTGGCATGTGGGATCTTCCCGGACCAGGGCTCGAACCCATGGCTTCTGCACTGGCAGGCGGATTCTTAACCACTGCGCCATGAGGGAAGTCCCATATTACTTCCCCTTTTAAAAAAAAGTTTGAGGGCTTCCCTGGTGATGCAGTGGTTGAGAGTTCGCCTGCCGATGCAGGGGACATGGGTTTGTGCCCCATACGCCGCGGAGCGGCTAGGCCCGTGAGCCATGGCCGCTGAGCCTGCGCGTCCGGAGCCTGTGCTCCGCAATGGGAGAAGCCACAACAGTGAGAGGCCCACGTACCGCAAAAAAAAAGTTTGAAAATGTGTCTCACCCCCTCCCCTGTACTTATGATCTAATGAAAAGAAAAGGTAGCTTGTTCACCCTCCCTTCCTTTGGTGGAATAAACTGAGGAGTTTTCTACATTTTTATTTATATTCATGTCTGTATTCCTCTATATACAAAAAATAAATCTCTCAAAACAACAGCATAAAAATTAAGATCTGTGTGTCTTTTAGAGTAGACAGATGAGGAGGGGAGAAGTTGGGAGCCTGTGTTCCTCTGAGGACAGAAAATTAAGAGGTAGAAACTGGGAAAAAGAAGCCTGTGGGAAGAAAAAGGGAAATAGCAGAAATAACTGAGTGTTGGTCTCTAGATTTTAACTGGGAGGTACAACATTTGGCCTGATAAAGACCAAGCTGTCCTGCTCAATCATCTACCCTAGTGATTCTCAACTGAAGGCGGTAGTAAGCTAAGAGCAGGGAGAAATGAAACTAATGACATTTGCTGGACATGTGAACATTAAGGCTGAATACAAATTCAAGAATCACGTGATTCTTGTAAGAGTCACATATGTGACCTTGATTGAGAATGTCTGTTGAAAGGGGCATATACGTGACTTTCACGTACATTCCCTCAGTCAATAGCTTTATTCTAACAAGCAGTCATCATCTCTAAACTGAACTAAAGCAGCAGCCTTCTAGCTGGTCCTCCTCATTCCACTCTTAACTGACTGTGGTGATCTCTACAAGTCTGAGTTATCTTTGTAAAATACAAAAGTATATCACTGCCTAATCAGAACTTATCACACTTAGAATAAATTCAAATTCCTATCATGGGCGTGTGAGATTCTGCATTATCTGGCCTTGCCTTTTTTTTTTTTAACCTCCTTTCCCCCCCCCCCCCCCACCCCCCCACCCCACCCCCCCGCAAGTTTTCATTACAATGGTACTACAATGACCTGCAATTCCTCAGCTTATTCTGACCTCAGGGCCTTTTCACTGGCTATTGTCTCTCCCTGAAGCTCTTCTCTCACAACTGCTCAGGTCTTGGCTCAAATAGCACCTCCTCTTCCAAACTACCCCATCTAAAGAAGAGTCCCCCAACAGTTCTCTGATCCATTAAATTTTCCTTACAGCACTTGTCACTAGCTGAAATTCGTATACATTTACCTGCAAGTTTATTATGTCTTTCCCTTTATCAGAACATAGCTTCATGACAGCAGGGAACTTATCTACCCAATATCTAGCCTTGTTTGTGCCTGGCATAAAGTTAGCTCCCACTAGGTTTCTGTTGAATATGTAAATGAATAATATTCAAATAGAGCCTAGATGCTAAAAGAAGAGAAGGAAAATGTGTTTATGAGAATATATTTCTAAGGCACTGAATGGCTCAAAGGATATTAGAAAAAATTTTCTCAGGGGTTCAAAAAGTTTTAAGCAATGTTTATATATTCAATTGATTGATTTATTCAATTGATTCAATTGATTGTTTATATATTCAATTGTTTCTTATGCCTGTAATTCAAGGCCTAGCCTCTTGTCAACAGTTGAAAGCCTTTTAGATCATCTATACAGAGAAGATTGGGATAGAGTCTCAATAGAGACAACAGTCCAGATCAGACTACAGACTCTAAAAACTAGTTAGAGGACCTTTGGGCCACTCTTCCATTCTGCCTTGATAATGCTATTACTAAGACAGTGACTCAAGCTATAACAAAATGAAACATTCACAAAAATGAAAAATTATTTCAAAATAACAAAAGTCCCAATTAAAGTCTTCTTCCACAGAAATAAACATTTTAAACCAATATGCCATTAGAGATTGGAAAGAATGAATCACTAATCTGGTAAATTAAAAATTTTGGCACAAACATGTTATCTCTGGCATTTTTACATATCCATATTTCATAATTAGGTCCATAACTCCTTTTCCTCACATGAAGCTAATTCCTCTTTCAAGCTCAAAGCAAACCATGTTTTAAAAACAGTTCAGTGCTTTCGTTTTGTGTTGATGTTCAGATAACCAGTTGTTTCAGATGTAACTTTTAAATAACCAATAATAAAACATTTGATATTAAGTGAATATTCAAATGTTAATGCCATAAAAAAAAAAGTTCTCTTTACGGATTTTATAGAATCTTTCATCGCAGATGCTCAGATGTTGGAGTTCACTTCATCTAATTGTTTTCCACGGCAGCAGGTAATTTAACTTACAGTCTCCTGGGGTACCTATTAAACATACAGATTCCTTAGTCCCATTCAGAGAGTTTCTGTTTCTATGCATCTAAGCAGAAGTCCAGGAATCTGTATTTGTTTAAAAGGCTTTCCAGGTGTTATTAAGGCCCGAAAACAGTGATTTTAATCCAGTTTCCAACTTAGTCCAGAACACTTTTTCCACATTTCTTTTTTTTTTTTTTACTTGAAGTATAGTTAATTTACAATGCTGTATTAGCTTCAAGTGTACAGCAAACTTATTCAGTTATATATATTCTTTTTCAGATTCTTTTCCATTATAGGTTATTACAAGATATTGAGTATAGTTCCCTGTGCTAAACAATAGGAATTTGCTGTTTACCTATTTTATATATAGTAGTATGTATATGTTAATCCCAAACTCCTAATTTATCACATTTCTAACAAATTGTTGCTCAGATGTGTTTTGAGCTCTTCCGGAGGGGATAATCCCATCTCCGTGTAGTTTGTTAACGTCTATTGGAAAGGTCTGATTATCAGAAAAATTTTTTTACTTTAAACTGAAATGGGTCTGCAGTGGCTTCCTCCCATAGGTCTAGCTCTGCCCTCTGGCATAACAAGGGTTATTATATATGAAAGCCCTTCATGCATTTTAATGCAGCTTTCAGGTACCCACAAGTTTTTCTTCTACAGCTAGAGAGCTGATTTCCCAAACAACTGCTCACAGGCCCTATATCATCCAAAGTATCCCTGCACCCTACTGCACCATCCATATTCTCTTTTCAGAGCCTTCCCCTCCACCACTGTCAGAAGTAGAGTCCCTAACCCAGCTATGCGCCATTTGACCCTGCCTAGCAGTGGAGCAGCATGTTGCCAGAGATCATATGGAACCGTACATACCCTACACTGTTGCTTCTCAAATGCTGACATACCAAATGACACTACAAGGTGAAGAAAATGTCACCAGTCTAGGCTGAAAGGAGAAAAATGGCTAAGTTCATTCAATCTAAAAGACTGTAGTGCTTTCTTCCTATATTGTGATCTGCCCAGGTCCTTTTGAAATTTTTGTTTTAAATGAAACTATAAGGATAACAGGTAGTTTGCTTGGCTGGTTGGTTTGTTATACTAGAAAGTCAGCCATCCTGTGTTGATGAGTCCTATTTCTTTAAGAGTTGTACTGGTCCCTGAAGACCAAAATCTGGGAACCACTGACCTAGACTTGCCTCCCGTGCTGATACACCAATGTTCTCTAATCCAACCCTTTCCTCTGGAACACCTACCACTTTACAAGACACAGTGGCTCACAAATCATTAGGTCCTTAGAATCAATGGAGTTTTATGAAAATACAGATTCCCAGGGCCCAACATCAGAAATTATGGTTTGGTAGGTCTGAGGTAAGTCTTGGTATCTGCATTTTTAAAAGCTCCCCAAATGATCCTGACGTTCATCCAGGATTAGAAAGCACTTTCCTGATATGCATTTATTCAGTGACTCTCTTCCAGGTATTTATAGTTTAAAATCACCAGGGATGGGGTTGATTAGGAAAGCAGGAGTCTGATCAAGTGTCTTAAAGCAGCCAGGCAGATCATGATATATAAATGTTTAGCCAGCTTCCTCCCTTAGGTATGGACACATCTGCAGTTGGTATCCTTTCCTCCTCTTCTAGCCTTTCTCTTATCAAGCCAGGTGTTCTCTGTTTTAGGTTTAGACATACTTGCTCTACCTGCCCAATTCTACCCAGCAAACTGACCTCAACACTCTTGGGTTCTATCAATATTCCTATTAAAGGGTAATACCCATAACTGGACATAATATTAATACATAATAACCCCCTTAATAATCTGGATACTAAACATTCTATTAATAGAGCTTCAGATCACCTTCACTTTTATAGAGGCACCAGCAAACTGATGTTACTTGAGGTTTGGACCAATCCATACTATTTGGTTTTACCTGAATTTCAACAAGCAGGTATCCTTCATTCAATACAACTGATGTTTACAAATACAATTTCAAGTTACACATTTATTCAATTTAT